CACGTGACTCTAATCTAGCAATCCAATAACATACATCGTACGGTTTCTCTATCTGTCTATCTGTCCATCTTTTAGTTAATTTATATTATCTCAATCTAATACATTTCTCAAATTTATTTTATCGTTTTCTTTGTATAGTTATATTTCCATAAAAATTTATTCCTTGAAAAAAAAAAGTTATTTATCATTAAACATTTAATTCATTAATTATTATTTTACATTATTATTCAAATTGATATTTGATGAAAAAAATCAATAAATGTTCAAATAATCACAAAATAATCTTTTCAATGTTTCAAACCTTTTCTATTTAGATACGTCTTAAGGGGTATTCGTCCAAAGGGACCGTTTATCCGCTAAAAATCGAATGTCTGCCAAGAATCCGGAGAGTGTTTGTTGCCGTGATAAACGGGTAAACGAGGAGAGTTAAACTTTCAAGAGCGCATTTCCGCGACTAGACATTAAACTGGAGGGAAAAAAAAAGGATGTTTCATTTCCCGTTGTTTATCGGTCTTCCTTTAAACCAGTGCTCATTATTTTTTATTTTTTTGCCACAATTTCGATCAAATTTCTCATTTTCTATCCTCGAATTTTAATAAATTCAATAAAAAAAAAAATTTCTTATCACCAAATGATGAGATAATTTTAATGACAAACAAATTAAAATATAACAAAAAATAACTGAAACTAAAAAGTCACTATAAATATTTATGAAAAGAATTAAATTATTATAGAAAAATCTGAATAAAAAATAATCTTCCTAACTTCACTTTCTAATATTATGAATATAATCAATTTAGAAGATATGAAAGTATCTATGGTATATCACTCGCAGGAATTTATTATGCATCCTTTTAGTTCAAAAAGAATTATGGATATAATCTCCAAGGAATTATTTATTTATTAATTCTATAAAGACTAGGATATTTTAAAAATGCTATTTCCAATGTCCTTTTTTATCTTTTAATTATAAAAAATTTAGTTAGCAGTAATTTGAATAGCAATAAATTGTGTATGCAATAAAAGTTAATAATAAATGAATATTGTAAATGAAAAACATGCATGTAATTATGATTGAATATGCATAAATTATGTAATACTAATACTATATTGTGTAATTCATTGTATTTTAAATGAAAATTATTAAAATCTTATTAAAATATAATCACTAATTAAAATAATACCACATAAAAATATTTTCCATCTTTTGAAATTTTATGTTAACATTAAATTAAGACTTTTTATTTAAATTATTTGAATTTCCATGAAAATAATTGTTATTATATCTAATCAATTTTTTCTTAAATATTGCATTATAATCAAATATAACCAAATTAAACAATATATATATATATAACATATATAATATATTCTTAAAAAATTTAAATTAAAAATAATAAAAATGTATTACGCATAACAACTTCATTTGCTATTATTATTTCTGCGATATTTCTTACGTGAGTTATACAATGTTTTTCAAACCATATTCGTTTTTCTACCCTACTGAAGAAAGGCGAAAGTAAGAGGGAACCGAAGAGGTTAGGAATAGAGAAACAAGTGATCCCCTTCGATATTTCGCGTGACGCATCAGTATTCCGAAATCGCGTCGATCGTTCGTCTTCCGAGACAAGAATTCAAACCATTTTGAACGAATTTTCCTCCGGTACATGGCGAGAAAGTTTACCATCGCCCCTTGTCTTTCAAATACTATCTTTTTTTCTGGCGAAAATTCCTCTCTCAACTGTTTTAGCCTTCTTTTAATTGTCATTGAAACAATAAGAAGTCGTAAAAACTTTTTGGTCCATCTCCAATTTTCTGCTGATGGTGGTCGTTGTTTCTTCTTTTTCTTTCTCTCTCTTTTATCCTCTGAAGTATTAAGATATTTCCATTCTTAATTCGATCTCATTTCTTTTTATGAATCCGCTTCACTATTCTTAACCTAAACTTGAGAAACTTGACTGGAAATAATTACAAAAAAAAAACTCGCGAAATAAAAGTCACTATGACATTTGAACGAACTTTGTAAATTGTTTTCATTTAAATTTAATTTTTATCTTTCTTATGCAGCTAAATTATATTTAATTAATTCACTGAAAGTAATTACGAATTACATTTAATTTATGATTTTAACAAATATAATACGAAAACATTGTTGTTGCCTTTAAGCTTCGTTTTCATTCTATTAAATCTAAATTTTAGTAATATTGTTTCTACGAATCTTAATTGTTGATTGATCATCCACTGAATATTATTTAATATCTGTATATATAAGATAATAATATAATACTTACAATATATAATACGGCAAACCGGAAATCTAACTCTCTTCTATATTACTTTTAATTGAATTCCTACGATGAAATTTCATCCAACAGTCCGAAGTCTCGTCTATTTCTCTTTCTCTTTAGCTCTCGTTTTAAAAAAGACCGTTTTTACGGCCATGTTTTCTCTTTTTACTTTCGACTCTTCTCTCAACACTCATTCACCACACTTCCGATTTCATTTCCCGTAATTTTCTTTTGTTATATGCTTGATTTTCAAAGCATTTACATATACCTTCTACGACGCATATTAAACTGAATATTTTTTACATCAAAGTGGCACAAACGACAGTTATGCGAACAATAGTGAAATGGGAAGAATTCTGAACTTCGATATCTCGAACAGGGACTACTTCATAGTTAAACGACAAAAATCGAAATCGTTTGTCTATCGATATTGTGTGTTCTAATATTGATTGCATACATGGAACGCCATCTGTTATTTGCGAGTATGTATTATTGTTAGTAAATAATTCAATTATATTTGATTAATGTGATTATAAAGGATGAAAAGTCTATTTGATAAATTTTTATTTTAATTATATACTTTTTATGTAAGAAAATATTAAAAACAAAAAGTTCAATAATATTTAAATCAATAATTTTTCTACGTTTCTTATAGGAATAATAAAAACTATTTGAAACAGGTTATGTGACAAGGAGCTACACAGTTAAGACGATAGTGGATGATTGGAACGACAGGTGCGATTAATGAGCATTTGACTGAACCTTGGGTCTACGCCGACCACTAATTAAATTAATTTCAAGATACGCTCCGTTCTGTTGCTGTCGCCCACATCTAAACTGCCAGTCACGAATCCAGTAACGATCAGTAGGTGGGGAGAAAAGACGGTCGAAGAATGACTAGGGGAATTCGACCTCGAATAGCAGCATTAATATGATTATTTAATTAATTTCTTCAAGGATCCTTCGAGAAAATAATTACAAGATACAAAGTTGTGATCAATCAAAAGGGCGTTACCAGTAGCTCTTTTACAACAAATATTCTTATTTAATTTGTTGATCAAAAAAATTAAGAATTTAATGTTAAAAGAAACTTATAAGATTTTTTTTTAAATTCTATTTTATTTAAAAAACATTTCTAATTTATTTAATAAACTACATAAAAAATTTCAGATATAAATGAATTTCTCAAAGAAATATATCCAGAGAAATCAGTACAAGAAACTTCTTCTTCAGCTCGAAGATCAGAAAATTGATGCTGAAAAATCTTTTTATATAGAAATGAAAAAATCTTATTGAGTCGTGCATTACCTTCTTTCAATTAACGCTTTTCCCGTATTCGAGATACGCCTCTCCCCTTTTCTTTGTTCCCGACAAGTATCTAGGACAAAGAACAGCTTCGTAATAGCGAGAATGAGACAGACTAATCTAGTTGTTATCACTGAACAAGGACGATGAATCGAAGGGAGAAGAAACTCACACCATAGGAAAGGAAGGAAAAAGCAAGATGTGAACGAAGATGATGAAACGAGAAAGACAGAAATAAAGGAAAGTCTTTATCACGGTGAACGTCTTGGCTTCGAGAACGGTAATGTTGAGGGAGTGGTAAAGAGAGGAAGCAGGTGGAAAGAGGAGGGGGTGAGATAGAATGAGGAATGGGGTAGAGAGGAGAATCAGCGAGAGGATGGCGTGTTATGGGGTTTTCACGGGTGCTCGGGAATTTGCATACAGAGCATCTGTCACCAGCCCCTTAGCTGGCTTCGGCTATTCTCGACTTGCAATATCTCCCGGCGCGGATCTACGGGATAATGGGGACCATTCTTATGGTAAACCAGGGGGGGGTGCCTGCCTGTGATTCGGTCTTCACTTCTCCTGGTAAAGCTACACCACTTTCTACGTGTCTACGAATCGTTCTGGATATCGTTTTTTATATTATTTATGTATGTGTATATATATGCATTGTTGATCATTCGTGAATTGCTTTATATTTGATTTCATAGGAAAAAGAAACTTTATTAATATCATTTCTTGATTGGAGAACATGCAATACTTAACTTATATCTAATTTATAGTTTTGCATGAAACGAAAATTTAAAGAAACATTTTTATATGATTTCGTACAAAGAAATTTTATATAAAACCAAAAAGAATCTATTTAAATTTATGAAACTTGTTATTATATATCAATCATGTAAAAAAGATAGAAAAGAATATTTAAATTGTTAAATTTTAATTGTTAAAATCAATTGCAGTTTATAATTATTATTATCATATTAATTATCATATAATTGATTTAATAATGGCAAAATGTATCTACAAATATAACAAAAACATTAAATAATTAATTAAATGAAATGATAAATGATTTTCACATACATCATACATAATATTATTAAAGAATAAGAAAGTAACAATGTAATAAACAAAGATTATGCTTATATTTCTTTTTAATATTTGCATAAATTTCAATTTTTTCATCAACATGCAATATAGTTACATTTTCTATATCTAAATCAGTTCATGATATATTATATTACTTCTAAATCAAATTTAAATTTACTTCTAAATCGCAGATTTTTGCTCCTTTGATTTCATTCATTTTTTTAAATTTAATTTTTAATTTAATTTTCTCATGATTAATCCTTTTTTCAACAAGTTTCATCATTTCCTTGTGTATATCCTTCGATCTTCTTTCTTTTTTGTCTCTTCCATATCATTCATTCTTTTCTTTCTCTTCAACTACGTTGAGGAAAATAGTTTTCTGGGCACGAATCACAGAACACATTGAAATTCACTGCGTATCTTCGCTTTCCATCTCTATTCTCGTCAGCCAACAACAGCACTACAGCCACGCGCTTAGATCTGACACGAAGAGGCAAACGTAGACACCCCCATGGCCACCTATGTAGCGTATACCTATACTACTCGCAGCCTGTTTTGCTCTCGAAGCACATTCGCCTTTGTTCGCGACGCCCTTTAATTTAGCTCAGTCTCTTTCCACATTTTTCCGCCAACCTCCTCTCACCCTCCTTCACTTTCCATCGATGCGATGCTTTCGCTCTTTTGCTTTCCCTTTCGTGCGTTTCCTATTTGCTGACTGTCTAATTTTTACTTGTGTGGTTCTTCCAGTTATACCGATCATTGTTCTTTGTTTGAAAAGTTTTTTTCTTTTGATCTATTTTTTTTATCTTTTTGATAAATTCAACTGTTTCTATATCTTTTTTTAAATAGTTTTTTTTAAATATTTAATAATCTAAAAATTAAAAAAGAACATTTAAAAAATATTTTTGGAATTTTAATATAATTTGATATAATTTCGTTTAAATAAATAAACACTTACATATTTCACTGAAATTCATAGAAATCTGTATTTAAAGAAGTAGATCAACTTAACAATCAAATAAAGAATTGTAGTTCTGTTCATTCATGTCCATAACCTCATTCATGTTCATAACCTCAATCACATAATTAAGACTGGAACAATAGTTCTATTTACAATAGAACAATTATACTTTCTTCATTGTTTAACTTCCTTTCTTACGTAGGAATTTTAATTTTAATATTCTGAATATAATCAATTTTCACTTAAACATATATGTACTTAACTTTAATATTTTTTCATATTTTTATATTTTCAAATTGTTCGATTATCGATATGAATCTTATATAAAAAATTTATATAAAATATTTATTTATATAAATGTAAATTTTAATGTAACTTAATATCTTTTAATCTTTGGGGAATATTATTACAACATAAATTTGGATAATTTTCACGTATTCACATACGTCGATAAATATATTCTTGTATTTAAAAATTTATTTCAGTTATTTTATAAATTGTTACATATGTGGAACATGAAAATATATTGAAATACTAAATGCTATTCATTTTAGTTGCGTCAAATACGAAGTAGACGAGAAACAAATTTTCCATGTACTATTTTTCTTTCTTCGACAGGTTTGAAGATTAAAGACAGTTTGAAGATTAAAGTTTTATGACAGTCATTTGTTTCAGACTTTTCTAATTTAGACAAAATTAATACTTTGTGAAAATTTTAAGAACATTTTTTCAAAACATATTTTTTCACATATTCTTAATAATATTAATATTATTAATATTACAAGAAAAATTTTTATTATTTTAATTAAAATTGCTATAAATTTATTATTTTAATAATATTTTCTATTTTTTGAAAACAAAACTAAAAATTATCAATTTTTAACGCATATAATTCATTATTTAAATATTAAAAAAATTCTAACCTAAATCTAACGGTATTTTACTATTATTACCAGTTAAATAAAACAATCGATTTTTAATCTAACACCATCTTCACAGAATCACTTTATGATCTTCTTTATCAAAAAATCCATTATGTATCACCACTCCAAATCCTCGAATGTTACAGACAACTTTAACGCGAGTTTGAAAGCGAAAGTCGTTTTCACCCTACGAAAAATCAACGATCTTTCCTTTTTCTACTCTCTGTTTCTCCGAATAACACGCTGTTGGAAAAGTGAAAAATTGCTGAAACTTATTAAACGGAAAACTTTGCCATAGTGGAACGAAGACGGAACTAAGAGAGGGTGTGATATATGTATGTGCGGCCATCGGGCAAGAAAGTTTTGACGAGCGACCGACTGCTGCCTGCGTTATTATTGCCGATAAATTATCCTGGCTTTGCAGTAACCAGAGGGGCCAACACTGATCTGGGTGTAAAGTTCGCCAATGCGCATGCGCATGCAAGTTGCCTCGAATTACGTCGATCCGCTCGATTTACGAGTTACGTGCCGCTTGGATCTTTTCTCACTCTACCATTATTGCCTGAAAAATTCATCGACGATTATTCCAAGATAATCGTGGGAAAATTAATGGTATGGTTTGAATACAAGTTCTGTTTTTTTTTTCGTTGGTTGTGAAACAGAAAGAAATTCGTAAAAGAAATTAATTTCGATGAAATTTGTGGTTATATTAATCATCACAGAAAAGCTTGTATAGAATATTTTTATTATTTTTCTTTGTGTGTTAAAATATAAAATATTAATGAATCTAAAATTTTTTATTATTATTTTTATTTTATATATTGAAATATGAAATGTTAATAAATCTAAAGTTGCAAAAAAGTATAACATAAATATGAAAGTATAGGTTAAGATAAGATTATATATTGGATATTAATATATTTATAAAAATAAACTAAAATATTTAAATTTTAAAAAAAATATATATAAATTCTACAATAAAGTTTGAATTCAAAATTTCATTATTCTCTAAAATTAGAATTATGATTATTGATTATCGATATTTTATTAATATTTTTTGATAGTCTTCAATCGATAACAATATCGATAATATCGATATAATATAAAATATTAAATATCGATATAATATAAAATATTATTAATAAATAGAAGTAACTAAATAAAATTTTTATTTTTTCTTATTAAAAATTATTATTAAGATGTAAAAATTATTTGTAATAAGTTTCAATAAAAATATTGAAAAATTATATTGTAATTTACTTAAGCTGTTTTTATTCGCGTTAATATTTTGAATATATGAAAAAATTAATGAAATATTTATATATATATATAATCATTAAACAATATTTTTAATAATAGATTAATATGAAACAATAGGAATTTAAATTACTTTCATTTGTTATTAATATCAATATATTATCGATATATCGAATTATCAATAATATATCGATATTTTATTTATCGATAACGATATCGATAAATATCGATAATCATAATTCTAATAATATGGAATATTATTTTTGAAATGTTGTTTAACAAACTCCTAAAATTTCTAATAATTAATCATTAAATAAATGATTTATAAATATCTATTAATTCTAAAAATAATTTAATTTTAAAAATCCAATTAAAATATTTCAACATAATATCCAAAATATTTAAACACAATTTCCATTCGATTTCGCTAAGACGATTTCATCGAATTTTCAAACAAACGACAACCTTCCCTTTCTACCTTCCCCCTCTCATCTACCTTCTTCCTTTTCGTCTCTTCTTCCTGAGCGCGGATAATTCGAAGCGATAAGCCCCTCGTCGATGAGAGGGTTTATCGTCAGAGGGGCCCGTCGTCGTCGACAGTCTCTAGCTGAGATTCAAAGACAAAGAAGGAAAAAGAGGAAAGAGTGAAAGAGAGAAGTAGAATTCGCATGGTTGCGTAAGTAAAGCAGCAACTCGAAAGAGGAGGATCGTGAGCTTTAAGCCGACTGCTCGTAAATCGCGCTCGTCCGTGTCCTCGACGATTGGCTCGCGCAATCGATCCGAAAACGAGGAGAAGTTTCTGCAGAAGGTTCCTCGAGAATAACACCAGCTGGAAATGCGTGAAGGAAGTCGAAAGGAAGGGGACGATTAGGATAAATATAGCAGAGATGCGATTCGTTATCATTGACAGATAAAGGTATGAATCCTAGGGGGGTACAATTTGATTTTTGTTCTTTTTATTTTAAAAATTTGAAAATTTATACATTTTTTATTTTAAAATCTTTAAATTTTTTATTTTTGATTTTTTTTAAATTTCATATCAAAAAAAAATATAAATTTTAAAGTTCAAATTTTCATTTTTTAATTTCAAAATTGTAAAGCTTTTTAATAGAAATTGAAAATATTTAAATCTTTCTAAAAAAAAGTTTAAGAAAATAATTATAAATAAATGCAGTAATTACTTTTAAAATTAAGTAAAAAATTATATGCATTTCATAATTTTTAAACAAAAATCACAAAATTTTCTTATAATGACAATAGTTAAAGAAAGAAATAAAATGTATATGTTATATATATATATATTTGATTAAATTTTATTAAATTTTATTAATATTCTAATAATTATATTTAGTTAATTTTCAAAGAAAATTCACATTTAAGAGATAAAATAAAATTTCATATGATTTAAATAATATAATACTCATTAATGGATTCTTAAATGGATTCTATTGCAATAAATATTATCTCCACAGTCTTGATTCATGTTCCAAGAATTCTCTTTTGCATAAGATAATATTCTTGGATATCAGGATATATATGATTGTAAAACATAAAAATTAATAAATCATGAACTTTTTTAGTCTGGAATTATTTGCATTCTTAATAATGTTCAAATTTGTATGTGATATTGATTGATGGATAATAATATTTTGGCTTCTCATAAATGATATATTAATCTTTAAATAATATATAATTTTTTTTACAGAAATCTTTCTAATATATAAAAATTTAAACAATAAGTTTCTTGATTTTTAAGAGAAAAAAAATTATATTTCAAGAAATTAATCATTCTATTTTGATGTTCTTTGTCTTGATGTAATTCAGTAAATATATTTATTCTAAAATATGACAAATTTTATAAAAAAATTTTCATAATCTTCTACAATGTTATTATTATTACATTAAATTAAAAAGAAAGAAATTTCCACTAAAAATTAGATAATGAAAACCAAAAAAAAAACTTCATTTCAAACTAAAAACTAAAAAAAAAAATATCTTTATAAAAGATTATTTATTTTTCACACTGAAGAATGAAAACTATTAAAAATTCTTCAAAAGAAATCACTTTACCTCGATTCAAACAAAAAAAAATCTTCTCGAAATTATCTTATTAGTTTAAATTAGCAAAAAAAAAAAATTAGAACATTCATGAAACGTTTCTAACCAATTTTCCACAAAGACATATCCTATCACAATAACAAGATTCATGGAAAACAATTTCCCAGAGAAACAGTTTCCCGAGAATCAGGAGATTCTCGAGGTCGTTTCTCGATTCGCCAGAAGCGAGTTTCTCTGCATCAAGGTCCATTCTTCGTAGCGAACACGTTTTTTGTCTGGCCACCCGTCGTCCCTGCACACTAGCCAGGATACGACGCGTCTGAAACGCGAGTGATTCAAGCTTGAATCCAGCGCGCCGCATCGATCATCATCATCATGCTCGAATAACATTTATGCCTTCCTATGGCGGTAACCGTGCAATACCAATTTGTCGTCGAGTCAATTTAGCTGGAACGGTATTTTTCGAATGGACTGATCGAAGATTTTTTTTCTTTCCGTTCTTTTTTTTTTTTTTTTTTTTTTTTTTT